CTTGTAGATTTGCTCTTTTCTCGACCGTGTGAAATTTTGGAGCAGTGGTCAAACGTGTTTCATTATGACAAACTACTGCGTGGGAACATTCTGCTGTTGTCTTTTGCCATCGGTTCAAGTAGGGAAAATTCAATTCGTTCTTGTGCTCCGGTTTTCAGCCGAAATGTTTTATCATTTTTCAATCAACTTGAATTCTTAATCGAAATATTGATATTTAAATTAGTAAGTATGTCATCGAATGGGACATTCAATCAATCATCAATAAATAAAGTGCTAAAAGATACAAAATTTTCCGAAATTACAGTCACTACTTGAATCTAATCAATCTGTCATAAGAATTACCGATTTGCTCGCTGTCATTCACGAAATTTACTGTTCTGTCATTGTACACGTATGAAAAAATTCAATAGAAAACTTAACGAATTCCCTAGAAAATTTTATTGGAATTCTATAGGAATTCTATGGGGTTTCTATAGGATTTCTATCGGAATTCTATTGAAAAATTCTATTCGTTTTTTGCGCTGATTCTATTGGATATTTGATGAGAAGAAGTCAATAGATTTCGATTTTCTGTTTGAATTTTTCTCTTAAATTTTTTTTATTAGAACAATTTTCAATTTTTTCCGCTGACTTTTGTTTTGCATTGTAGAATCCGAGCGGAATAAACTTGGAAAATTGATGCCCAAGCATTCTTATAGAAAAAATCTCGAGAGAAAAATTTAAACAGAAATTCGAAATCTATTGACTTTATCTTATCGAATATTCAATAAAATCAGCGCAAAAAACAACGAGAATGTTTCAATAGAATTCCTATAGAATTCCAATAGAATTTTCTAGCGAATTCGCTAGATTTTCTATTGAATTTTTTCATGCATGTATTTCTCAATATAAAACATTTCACGTACATCTAATTTTTCACCAGCCCTCGCAGTTCCTAACACCTTTGACTTCTTAAAATGGAAAGCATGATAAATTTTTTCCAACAGTCTAGAAGCACCGGATCAATGGCGAATGAATTCTTATTGCAATGTGACCAGAAATGTTCAGCTGTGAGTCAGTGAGAGGACACAGAATGAAACTCTCGGCTGGAAGAGTTCAAGGATAACCTCAACGATAACATCGGTACACTGTGCACGAGTTAACTCATTATGTGGTCGTGTGCATTAAATCGATATCAATTGATTAACGAGTACTATTTATCATCCTGCGGACTATGGACTCCCCAACATCCGTATGAAGTTGCACCAGTGGATACAATCCAATATACTACGTTTAAACGTGGACAAATGTACATTACATATGAACAATATTATTTCTACGTTATGAAACCGGATGTCTCGTGAGTCCTTTCCCATGTCACGTTGAGAGACCATAGACCATCGCGTGCGGCTATCATCTTTTTACATCCATCGTTACTCCGGAGCCGTTGAAAAAAGTGTAGTCATGGTGGAAAATTAATTTGAGAATATGGGAAGACTTCGGTAAACAACTCACGGGAATATTATTTCTTCACTTCGTACCTTCGCACGTTGGTGATTAGAAAAATTGATGATGGAAAAATAGGCAGTTTCCCCGGAGAAATGACGCATTCCAATCGAACGAAACGTTTTTTTTTTTCATTTTCGTGTTGATTTTGTTGGGAAAACATCGGCATAACCGAAATTTTGAATAGGTGGATGGCAATATTACTCACAAATTTTTTTAGTACAACAATAACCATTTATTTCAATTTTCCAATTCCGAATTATTTTATCGACTATCAATTGAAATATTCAAATTTCGAATGATTTTATCGACCAATAATTGAGCAATGAAATCACCAATTATTATTTTTCAAATTTAAATGATGATAAATAAATCAAAATTACTGCAAAATGCAACTTGTCATAATATTACTAGAATAATGATTGATGCCGGTCTATGAAATGAATAAACTAATGGATTTATTTTAATGAACATATTTTTATTTCAGGGAATAACCGGCCCATAATCTTTACTTGCACCAAAAAACCTTGATTACTATTGGAAAAACTGTCAATTTAAAGTAAATCGTAATACAAATAGAAATTAAATTCAAGTTTGTTCAGCAAAAACAAATTTACGAGGCTTCCAAATCCATATTTTATTAAAAATACGCGATTGGTGCAGTCACTGTTGTCAAAGAATGGGAACCCAGGAGAGTAATTAAATTATTTATTTGGCTATTCAATAAATGATCCGCAGGTCTAAGTTGTTCTAACAGCATTGCCATAGTCAGCTTATTAAATAGTTAATTTATTGTACCCTATTAATTTACAAGTGCATTTATTCAAATTGTCAGCTTACACCTACTCTAAACTAATCTGCTGGCCAGCAATTACCACTAACTATCCTACGAATACCTATGCAACCTACTACTATTTCACCTAAACTTAAGCATGCTCCTTTTGGACTCGAGCTTCACTCGAAATCCAGAGTTTCGTCCAATATTTTGGGGACGGGTACGTCCCACAGAGACACCAGACGGTCCATAAGTGAAGACAGCTGGGCGAGAGGCAGTACATACCTTCTGCGAGGCTATGCAAATGCTCCCAGTTGTCTTCCTGGCCGGTCTCAAGAGGTCGTAAGCAAGCCTTTTCTCCCTTCTGAGATGACGCCTGGCGGTGGCCCTTAGTCGAGAGTCACCTCGGCAGACGTTATGCCATCCGCGGGATACTCGAGCTGCGTTCAACAGCGATCGAGGATCAAGCTGCCTGAAAATACATTGCACCACTTCCACTGGGAGATTTGCAATCGGATCAGTATTGGGTTTGCCAACACCAAAGAGGCGCATGAGCTTTCCAAAGAATTCCATGTTGCTACTACTCGAGGAAGTTGCAGAATGAGCGCTTCTGCCGTGGTAGCTCGCTTTATCCCTTCCCCCCCCCTCTCCTGCCCCCCCACCCTACCGACCACCCCCACTCTTCCGCCCACCCCCACTCCTCACTTCGTCGACCAATCGGGAGGCTCCGCTTTCGACCAATAGGATTCGATCGTGACCAAGTGATCTATTTCTTCATGACAGTGAATTAATGAATTGTCGCTACGGTAGACCCTCGCTATGATCGCACTTCCCCTCGTATTGTTTTCTCGTCGCTCGAGCGCTTCCCCACTCTGCTACCACGCAGCTCCCACAGGAAACACTCGGGCGCTGTATTTTCTTCGAATAGCCATTATCTTTTAATTTCCGGGAAGCCGAAAAATATTCTAAATGTAATTTCCGATTCAAAAATTCAGTTCACGCCTGACTGTCATGGGGAGAGCATGCCGTTTGTTGGGATAGGGGGAATTGAAGTTGAGGTAAATTGAATAATGAATGGGAATAATTTAATAAAATTATTAAAAGTTTGAGTGTTTTATTAAATTATTATTTTAATAATTTAATAAAATTATTCATAATTCATGATAATAATTCAGTAGTAAATTATGCTGGATTTTCAAAGAATTACAAAATAAGGAATATTTTCCTGAAATCTTCAGTTTCTACAGATTTTTCATGAAATTTGTAAATTTCTCAGAATGACGAAAGTCAAGATAACTGATATGTTTCAGTAAAACCAAAAAAAAATCACAACTTACTTGAATTTTCAATCGGTCACGAATCTTCGAGAAAAAAATGACTTGAATTGTTAATCCTGAATTTTCATTATTTTTAAGAATTTTCGCGGAATAATTGCGAAACAAATTACGACATTTTATTTTCCAATGGAATTTCTAATAAATCAATTGAATACTTGATTCCTCAATAGTTTGATCTCCGGAAGATGCAGCCAAAACGTCACTTGATAAAAATTTCGAAACCTGACACGGCAAATTCAAGCAAAACTTATTAATCGCAAACTTGAAAATGTTTATCGCTTTAACTTTCCTCCCACGTGAAAAAACAATTCCTCCGGTGAAATTCATCTTCGTGATACACGAAAGTAATATGCATTTCCACATTGTTCTATCATGACTTGGGAATTGCAAATGAAATTCGAAGGTACGATTGCACCTTTCTCCTTGCACCCAGTGTTTTGCATCGATTTCTTGGGTCAATTGATAAATAATTCGAAGTGTCAAGTGAAAGTGTACCAGAGGAGATAGTGCATATGGTTGAGACGAGATAAGTAGGGTGGCCGGGCTGGTTTTCAAGACATTGAGGAAAAAGTAAAACATTGTGCCACTTGCTTTCTTCGCAATTGTGCACCGAGAAAAAAAAGTTTCTAGTTTCGAGTCAAATTCGATTTTTTTGCCAATAAATAGTCAATGGAACCCGTTGAGCCCTTTCTTAACCTCCCCTCAATACTTGGTTGAAATTTTAGCCATTCATATTGGATAAAATCGGAGAAAAATTAAGGTGTATTACACCCTTTTCCCCAAAATTCACGTTTTTTCAATTTTTCTAGTAAATTATTAATCAGATTGACGTGAAAAAATATACCGTTTTTGCGTTTCTTTTCTTTTCGGAAATTCACAAAACTTTAGAAAAAATACAGGAAAATTATTGCACTGCCATGAAACGTCGTGAGTCAGTCAATAATGATGAAACGCAAAAACGGTATATTATTTCGCGTCAATCCGATCCGTAATTTGCCAGAAAAATAAAAAAAAATGGGAATTTTGGCGAAAAGGGTGCAGTACATCCTTAAATGAAGAAAAAAACAACTTTTGCGACCGCCTCCGTTACCCCATACTCGGATATTTGTTTTGGATAGAGTCGTCACGGCACCGCGGTAAAATTCGGAAATATACCCTTTTTTACATAAACTTATGAAAGTAGAACGTACGCGGTATTCCCCGCCGCAGCATGCACTGTACATAAAAATAAAGTGTGTACAGTTGTGCATCTTGCAGACGGTCATCCGGAAAAATTGACCGGGTGAAAGTTAGCTTTCGGTTGTCCAGTCGACATAAATCATTAGCCCCTTTCCTCGCATCCACATTTTTGCATTATCAGTTCATCCTTCACCCATAATTATTCTCTGTTTCATATCTCCAAGATGGAGGAGATACGGAGCAAGGAGAGAGATATCGAGAAACTGGAGAAACTTGCTAGGCGAAAATGGAGGGCCAGGGAGACAGAACTGGTATGTACTGTCCGTTCCTTTGTCTCTATTTATCTTTGCGTTGTTGAATCCTATTATAAAAAGGACAAACATCGAGACTATCGATATCTCGAAACTCTGTCACGCGTATTCGTCATTGGTTCACAGTCGTCTGAGACGGCTAATTTGAATTCAGAACTCATTCAATTTTGAAATGTTCAATCATGATTTTTATAATTACAGCGCGCTGTAGCGCGCGGTCGGTCTCGTGAGCGGAAAAATCTTGGCGCAGGCTGTTATCGTCTCAGTGGCGTGTGATAAAAGTCCACTTCTGGAATTAGATATCCGACGCGAGAGGGATTTAGCTCAATGGCAGGTTTTTTGCCTTCGTCGAGAGCTGCTGATATCAAGAACACTTGGCACTGCGCGTCAAGTTGGTGGTCTGAGCTTTTATAATAATTCAGGCTCTCGGGTATGGCGGAAAATGAATTCTCTTTTCGTTTCCGGAATCGAGCTTTCTCTTCGCAAACAGTCACGGCCGTGGGATAATGTACGTTGACAGAACTGATGGAAGGATTTAGTTCCTGTTAACGGAGAAATGGTCAGCAAAAATTACGGAACGCACTGGAAAAATTCCGTGACACTTCCGTAAAATTTCCTGCAACCACATTTCGCTCTGGAATTATGGAAAATATACGTAATTTTTATTGAATATTTCTCTCCGTGTTGACGGGCTTTTTAACTATTGATGGAATTCGTTAATAGTTGATGAAGGGCATTAATATCTAGTTCATGGAAAGAAAAATTCAATAACAATTACCAGAAAAACACGTAAAAATTACGTTTCGAAAATATTCAATAAAAAGTGTGAGTCGGAACTGAAATTGTACGAACCGCCACGTAAATTCTACCATTTGTTCCGTAAAAATTAATAAAAATTGATTTATTGTTATATAAAAAAATGGCCCGATGTTTCCCCCACAAAATGGAACTCAACGTCGCTCTCCTGAAAACTAGAACTAAAATACGCGAAAACAAACTTCGATAACGCGACTTGCGACATGAACACAAACGGAGAGAAATGTTCAGTACAAATTACGGAACACACAGTTCGCTCACCGATTACAGTATCGACTGAGAAAATTTACGTGACAGCATTGTAATTTTTCACAGGAGATTCAGACAAAAATTACGGAACGCTCTGGAAAAATTCCGTGACAGTTCCGTAAAATTTCCTACAACCACATTTCGCTCCGGAAGTACGGAAAAGATACGTAATTTTTATTGAATATTTCTCTTCGTGCAATAAAAATATTTCCGCATTAGGACCAAAGAGTGTTTATTAATATTACTCAATTTTGAATAAAAAATGAGGAGAAAATGGGGATTCTCTCCTCATTTTTCTTCAAAATTGAGCAATATGAGTTTAATTGACGCCTCTTAACGCCCCCTCCCCTCAATCCCCTCACGATTCCGAAACATACGGAACACCCGATAAAACGCGTGCTATTATTGATGTTAGCTTGAAAGCGTAATGTTTCACTCGTTCATATTATCGTTATTAGTTAAGGAATCACCTCTCCCAAGGTGGCCAGAATGGAATTCTCCAGCGTGTCCCAGGGAAATACAATCGTTAGCAGCTAGAGTGACCGAGTGGAGCGCTAATAACGAGTACGTGGAAGCGTTTAATCGCCGCGAGTTTCTCGGTGTTGTATATAGAGGCCGGTATATCTTTATTGAGAAAGGTCTCCGTGTAGTCACTCTGAATGGACTTTTTTCTCCTCCTCTTTCTGTAAAGTTGTCGACTTTTCTTTCTACTTTGCCGCGCGACACATTTTTTCGATTCCGGACACCAGGGGACACTCGCCGGTGTCTCACAAACACACCACGGGTGGGGGAACACCCAGAAGTTCAAAAGTAAAATATTCACTCTGTGGGGTCCTCTGATGAACCAGGTAGACGGGCATTAGAGTTTAAACTTGTAAGAGAGATTATGTTAGTTACAGCGAGGCTTTTGCGTATTTTGATAAGGATCTGCGAGCCATATCCTCGACACTGTAACGGTCGGTGAATACTCAATCTCTGCTTCTATCCGCGACTCGTTTTTTCTTTTCGAGGCTCATTGTTTTCAAACCGGCAATTATTTCGCGTCTACCTGTTTTCCCGGAGTGCAACGAGGTACTTTGTAGGGAAAAACCGTTAGGAAAGTAATGAAAGAAATGGTTATTATTTTTTCATCTCAATGTGCAATCACTTGGCTGACCTGGGCACTAGTTAATAACTTCGTTAAAATATAATGAACATTTGAATTTTACGTTACTGCGGGCCTCATTGGTTGCACGAGGGGGAACTTGCGGGGTTATTTTGGGCAATCGCGAGTTTGGGGCTCAAATGAGTGATTTTTCCATTATTAACGTGGGGGGATTGCTCGTCACTTGATTCTTTCTTTTTTATTCTTTTTTTTTTCAAGTCAAGTGTTGATGTTCGTGGTGACGGGTCAAGGGGATACGTCGGTGAAATTTAAAAGTCTTTATTGGGCCTGGGGACCCATTGAACAGTTTGTGATGTACACTGTTAAAAAATTTTGTCTGAATTTTTAGTGCCAATTTCCGGAGATTTTTATTGTGTTTCAATTCCAATGAAATGTCAGGAAATCTTGTCATTGAAAATTCAGAATTTCGGGGAAAAATCAAACATAACTGTAAATTTCAGCTCCATTTTTCCGTGGAAATGAATTGAAAACCAGGAAATTCTGGTAAATGTTCTTGAATTTTCAGGACAGTGACACTGAATGCGATTTAGGGGGAAAAATCGTGAAATTTTGGATTTCGCTGAAAATTCAATGCAATTTGACCCTGATTATTCGTATTAGATTGGAAATTCAAATAGACTGAGGAGTTCTCGTACTTATGCCCTTGAAATTCTGCAATTTTACTGAATTTTACGTGAAACCCGAACAAAGTACGAAATTGTCACGTAATTTTTCCCGAAGAAGTAAAATTTTACAGAAACTTGCCGACTTATTGTGCCTCCAAAATCAAAAATTCTTGAACGTTCAACAATTTTTATGAAGCTGGTGAGTTATTTCTACGTTCCGTTCCGTAAAATTTCCCAATCGTTGGGGAAAAATTACGGAACGACTTGTTGTCCCCACAGCGGTGAGTCATCAGACGGGTGCTTAATTTTTACGGAACAAATCGTAGAATTTACGTGGCGAATACATTTCACTTCCGACTCACACTTTTTATTTAATTTTACTTCCCTCGCAGATTACGTTCCGAAACGTAATTTTTACGTTTTTTATTAATTTAATTTTTATTGAATTTTTTTCTCCGTTTAGTTTTCCTACGATTTCAGCATTTTTAAATGTTTTGTTACACTCCAAAGAATAACGTTAAGCATCCGTTTTACTTCATTCACAATAGATCATGGATGAATGAATTTTGAATGTCAAATTTTTCGCGTTTTTGTAGTAAAATGTATGAAAATCAAAAATCGTGATGTTACACTACATTTTTTACTATTTTTAATCAACGAAATCGCAATAATTTTACTCCCCTAAAATTGACTTCACTGTCAATCCTCAAAATTTCTTCCAAATGGACAAGGAAATTTAAATTTAAATGACCGGGCGGGGGGAGAGGAAAATCTTAAACAGAAGAAGTAATTTTTTGACACAATGTTCACAATTTCTGATATTGATCCATCATCTTTCAAAAGTTACATTATGTGGAAGTTAGTAATTCAGAAGGTAAAAATAATTAATGTACCGTTAAGTTTCCGCGTAATGCCATGCAAGTTTGAGGAAAAATTACGACGATGGATTAATTATTCTTGATTCGTATCGAGCCATTATCGTTTTATTAATTATTATTAATGCAACACCTTCACACGGGCGGTATTGAGGTGTTCGGTGTTAGGATGGAGAGGATGTACCTGACTTTTATGTGGGGTCCGTGCCTCTTGAGTGAACGGATACCGCACGGACCTTCAGTCTTGTCTAGACGTCCGTCGAGTGCGCATGCTCTGGTGCTTTCTAATGGTGTCAAAGTGAGCTAGCCGTTCGTTTGAATTCATCCAGACGATTTTTTTTATTTCAGTTCAATTATTTCTGTTGAATTTCACGAGTTTTTGTGACAATCGTAAACGCCTTTTTCGGACGAAAATAAGGTGTGAGAATCTTGGATTTTTTTAACGTTATATGTGCCGTCAAAGTCTACGCCCACCTGATGGGATTCGCATGGCAAGAGGTAGGCATCATCAGCGAATGATTTACATAATTTTATTACTTTGATGTGGTGTTTTCGATCGTTAATCATCGATTGAGGACGATGAGTGTTGGAAGAAAAGGAAATTGAAGGGGAAGTTTGGTGGTGGCTTTCAAGTGAGCGACATTGAATTCAATTCAGGGGGAGAAAATTATCAATTCTAAATTTTACTGGAAATTCAAAATGGACTTTGACATTTTTTCACAGCCGGCAGACGCGAAATCTTTTTTCACTTCGATTTTTTACGTGAATTTTTAATTATTTAGTAATTTAATGGTAAATTTATATGAGTTTTCCTGGTTTCTATTAATTTTCATGGAATAATTCAACTGAAATTCGCAGTTTCCATGAATTTTTTTTATCAAATTGTGAATTTTGAATGATAAAACTCCTTCAACATTCAATAAAACAATTTATTCATCTGAATTTTCCTGACTTGTCTGAATTTTCACGGAATAATTCAGTTTTCATTGATTTATTCGTCGAATTATGAATTTAAATAACAAAATCCTTAGAATTTCAGTAAAACTGAATATAATTATTTTAATCCTCCTGATTTCTACCGATTTTCGAAGAAAAATTGAGCTATAATTTACAGTTTTCATTGGATTTGCCCTAAAATTATGAATTCTGAACGACAAAACTTCTTTAAATTTCAATAAAACAGAATATATTCACCTAAATCCTCCTGATTTCTCTGAATTTTCACGGAATAATTCACCCAGAGTTCAGTTTCCATTGACTTTGTCATCAAACTGTGAATTTTGAATGACA